ACTGCGTTCACCAGTACCACCCAGTGGCCATTGGTTTGGTCCCTGGGGGCCATCCCATCCCATGTTCTCTGACCTCCTGGAGCTGTGACGGTTCATCCCGCCAGAGCAGGGCAGGCGCCCCAGGGGGCTCCGGGGATCTGTGCTCTAACTTGTGGTCGGCAAACCCCGGCTCTCCAGTCACATGCGGCTCTTTGGCCCCTTGAGCGTGGCTCTTTCACAAAATACCATGAGCGGGTGTGCACGTACAGTGCGATTGAAACTTCGTGGCCCATGAGAACCTCCTGGTGAAGGAAGTTGCAAAGACCAAGATCAGGATGCCGGTATTTTGTGGTAGAGCCACACTCAAGGGACCAAAGAGCCGCATGTGGCTCGAGAGCCGCGGTTTGCCGAGCCGAAGTTTGCTGACCACTGCCTTGGCTGCTGCAAGGCGCACCACTTATGTGGTCTGTGTATTCTCGTTTGTGAAAAAAAAAAAGGAGTTGGGCGAGACTATCATTAAAACTCTAGAATTACTAAATTTTTAAGGTTTTTGTGGCTAATGGGGGAAACTGGTTATGATGAGGTCAACTCTGAGCTTGCCTGATGGGTGTGCGGCTGCCCCCTGCCAGTCCACTGTAGGGTTTTCTAGTCTTTAGAGTGTGTTCCATTCATCTGTCAGAGCCAATCCAACAGAACTGTGAACTGTCTTCCACTTGCAAACCTCTGTCCAAAGCCATTAAAATATTTTCAATGACAGAGGAAATTGAATGTTGTTACTATCCAAAGTTGATGAACAAAAGACCAAAGAATCGCCTAAAGATGGGTAGCAAGCTTCAGGATAAGATACATCTTCTGACTGCATCGAGCTGGGAGTTGTATGGTTAAGTGAAAATACTGCTTTTGTAAATTTTGTAGTTAAGCCGATTTAATTTTGACACAGTGAATTGTTTCTAAACATTGGTTCACAGCATGTTTCTAAACTCTCCAGTCGATTAATTTTGTTTAGTTCTTTGAATTCCTTAAAATGCTTAACTATTGACTGTTTTTCTGGCAAGTGTGAAGTGTATGGATCATTGATCCTTTAATGTGTAGGTTCGTAACAATTACGGTCATAAAAGAAGTTTCGGCATCGGATCTCAAGGTACATTTGATAGGAAGAGTTCCTTGGTGAAGGGAAGAGCTCGCCATCTCTGTGCAAATAACACTGGGCTCCGCTTCAGACATGCAGTTAAACTTGACTTCGAAAATGTAACTAATAATGTAAAGAATGAGCCCAGTGGGCTGCTCACATTTGGTGAAAAGTGTGTATAAGGAAGATATGGGTAGAGGAGGAGGGAAAGAGTAAGGAAGGAGGTCTTCCTAGTATCTGTATGTATAAGAAAAGCTCCTTTAAAAAAAATATATATATTTTTTTGGTTCCAGAGAGGAAGGGAAGGGAGAGGGAGATAGAAAGAAACATCAGTGATGAGAAAGGATCACGGATCGGCTGCCTCCTGCACGCCCCACACGGGGGATCGAGCCCACCACCCGGGCACGTGCCCTGACTGGGAGTCAAACTGTGATCTCCTGGTTCATGGGTCGATTCTCAACCACTGAGCCACACGGGCCGGGCAAGAAAAGCTCCTTTAAGGTGTGAGCATGGCACTCTGAGGAGAGAGCTCCTGCTATGTTTGGGTTTGTGCTCATCTTTCACCAGGAAGTTCTCAGTGATGACGTGGCTTTATGAATGGCCCAAATAATAGCTCAGCAGGAATGCATTAAGCGCAATGTACAAGGCCACATGGGGGTGGTAGATTTCTCTAAGCCGCCATATTTATGGCTCCAGCTATTTTGTTGAGGAGAAGTAAAGATATATTTACCTGGAAAGAAAGGATTTTATAGGCGTCAGTAGAGGATATAGTCCAATAGCTACAGCGGCTTCCCCTTAATGTTTCTTTCTCTTATTCTGTGGGGCAGGAGTAAAACAATAAAAATAAGGAAAGAACACGATTTATGTCGATTCATGAGCAAGAGAGCACTGAAGCAGAAGAGGAGAATGGCAAGCCCCTGGTAATAGATGACAGAGCCACTTACTGTGGACTTTTCTGGGGGAACAATAAAAATAAACAACTTTTAGCCCAGTCGGTGTGGCTCAGTGGTTGAGCGTCGCCCTATGAACCAGGAGGTCACAGTTCGACTCCCCATCAGGGCAAATGCCCAGTTTGTGGGTTCAACCCCCGATGTGGGGTTTGCAGGAGGCAGCCAATCAATGATTCTCTCTCATCATTGATGTTTCTCTCTCTCTCCCTCTCCTTCCCTCTCTGAAATCAAGAAAAATATATTTTAAAAAAATAATAAACAACTCTTAGGGAAAGAGAGGTTTAAAATGGGGTTTTAAAAGCGTAAGGTAGCGAGGTGAAATGGAAGGAGTCCTGGAGAACGGGATTTGGGTCCACGAAGGTGGGCCAGCCTTCCCTCCCTGGCCTCAGGGTTATCAGCTGTGGTGCTGGAGGTCATTGACCCAGAGGGGCCCTGAGGACCCTTCAACCCTCCAATGACATCTGGTCAAGATCCCCTGTTTTGCTTAAGCATTTGGATGATCACTCAGCTACACATATCCAGGTATCTGCCTCGTGACATCCAAAGTGAATTCTAATAAAAAGGAAAGGCCGCTGTGGCACTTTCCTCAGTCGGAGAAATTCAAAGCCAAACTGAGAGCAGACTAGAACAAGGCGGTACTGGGCGTCTGAAGTGGTTCTACAGGACACAGAATGTGCTGATGTACCAAGTAGAACTTCCTCTCTGAAATTTACGAAGGAAACTTCTTATCATTTTAATATCAGGAATTATTTAAATAGGGCCAAGGGTAGAGCATTAAAACCTACCAGGCTAGGAGGGGTCTCCAAGCATAATTACTTACTCCTGCTACGCCAAACACAGTGTAGCAAATTATTCAATTTGAGGTAGACCAAAATGATGGTGTTATGGGGAAATAAAGAAAAAACATTTGGCTCTGTGAGCTCTAGTCTGTAACACTTGTTTTTTTAGGGGAGAGATTACTTCTTAAAAATTAACAAAACCAATAAAGACCAGATATATATAACTAAAGCACAAATTAAGTATTCAAAATAATATTGGATTAATAGTAAATGAAGACTAATTATAATTTCTAAAGATTTAATAACTTTAAATTGTATGAAAAGATAATATTGGTCAACAGAAAAACCAAAAGATAATTATCCTATCTAATAAAGAGGAAATATGCTAATTTACCCTCATGCTGTTGCAAAGATGGCAGCACTCACAGCTAGTAAGGAGGGAATATGCTAATTGACTGTCACACCCTCAAAGATGGCGGCGCCCACAGCCACAAGATGGCCGGCAGGGGAGGGCAGTTGTGGATGATCAGGCCAGCAGGGGAGGGCAGTTAGGGGCAACCAGGCCGGCAGGGAGGGCAGTTGGGGGCGACCAGGCCGGTAGGAGAGCAGTTAGTCATTGATCAGGCTGGCAGGGGAGAGGTGAGGGGTGATCAGGTTGGCTGGCAGAAGTGGTTAGGGGCAATCAGGCATGCAGGCAGGCGAGCCATTGGGAGCCAGCAGTCCAGGATTGTGAGAGGGATGTCTGACAATCTCACATCAGGCCTAAACCGGCAGTCAGACATCCCCGAAGGGTCCCAGATTGGAGAGGGTGCAGGCTGGGCTGAGGGACACCCCCTCCCCGTGCATGAATTTCGTGCACCGGGCCTCTAGTAAAGAAATAAAAACAAAATGAAATGTGTTGCCATTATTATGAATCTGCTGCCCAAATAAAGCAATGATTCAAGATCAAATAAATTAGAACAGTCAGTATTGAATAGCCTTGGTCAACAGAGCAGGTCAATAAATATGCATTGATTGGCTGATTGAATAAAAGTACTTGCAGTTATTTTAGGAAGATCAAAGTCACTAGGGAAGTTGTGTATGTAATTTCTTAAACAAAGCAAGTATGAATTTCCTTTCAAAATAATAAAATACAAAACCTTTCCAAATAGTTCCTTTTAAGTCCTAAGCAATAAAATGTTATAGAACAATGTTTATATGTACAAATACCTAAATTGGAAACACGTAAAATGTGGAAATAGAAATGTTTTCTGTATAAAGAAATTATGTTTTACATATGTAATGGGGAAAATCCTATGGGAAGAGTTTACCTTTACCAAAAAATGCAATCCTTCCCTCTAAACTAATATTTGGACACATACATTTTTATTTCCTGAAGTGGGTTCAGTTTTTTTTTTTTACATGGATGATCAAGATATTGATGGATGACTTGAAGACCCTAAGTCAAAATCAAAACACAATTTGCAGTGGCCTGAATTGATGAGAGGCCTTTCCTACTGTAAGTTCCCACAGTGTGGGGATGAAATATGTAGCCTGCCTTGCAAATATGTCACTAATTAATTCACCAAGCATGGCTAGCTAGTCAGTTTGGGCACCCTGTGTTGGTACCTTGGATACAAAAATTAATAAGGTGCTAACTAATGGATGAATTTGAATCACATATCATTAATTTAGAATTATAAGCCTACAGGAAAAGGGAATGATTTGCTGGGAGTAAAAGAAAAATCAAAACAGCTTTCTTTTCAGTGTGTGTGTGTGTGTGTGTGTGTGTGTGTGTGTGAGAGAGAGAGAGAGAGAGAGAGAGAGAGAGAGAGAGAGAGAGAGATTGAAAGAGAGAAAGAGCAAGCAAGCTCTAAGAGGTGTGATGACATAAAGAGAGAATGTCAATGATGTATCCTAAGGTAAAATATGGCATTTCCGGGCGGAGAGGAATTCTAATCCACTCTCCCACACAGCGAGACATTTCCTCGCCCAGCAGTGGGAGTGTCTGTGAAATGAGGTTCCCCTCGCCAAACCTAACATCATTGCAGCCCCGAGGGATACAGGCCTCTGTGGCTGCCCTCGCCTGTTTGAGGACTTCTTGCTGACTGTTTAGTCAAAGTCAAATGTACTGTTAACAGCAGGATTTTTTTTTTAAATGAAGGTAAATAATTATTATTTTTTTTAAATGAGGAACCCTTCACGAATTTGCATGTCATCCTCCGCAGGGACCATGCTAACCTTCTCTGTGTCGTTCCAATTTTAGTTTGTGTGCTGCCGCAGTGAGCACTAAGTCATGATTTTTGAAAACGAATGTAGAAGATGAAAAATTAATGTAAACTTCAAGAAATCTTATATTTGTTAGCCTCATAAAATTTATCATAGCAGCAATGTATTACCAATATTATTTCCTAAAGTTGATACTCAAAAGAGCTGAACACAGAACCCCTTCTGCTTCCTACCATTAGATTCGTATTTTCTTAGTTAATTGCTTTTCTGAATCTATATCAACACACACTTATTCTAAACGCTATTTGGAGATTTGCTCTATTTTGAAGTCTTTCCCTGCTTGCATTAAAAAATGAGTTAAAAATTCTCTCCTAGTACTCAGAGGAAAGGAAAGAAATCCATATTTACTAAATATTCCTGTTCTTGCTGTTGTGTTTGTGAGCATTCACAGGTGTGAGAGTTAAAACCTGAGAGACTATGTTCAAGGGAAAAATATACTATTTCTTATAGTGACGAAAGGGACTTGACTCTTAGGTGCTGTGGTGAAAGTCAACAAGGCCTGGACATGAGCTCTTGCTAAATTCCACTCTCAAAACACTTCTCAGCATATGGTGACCCCAAGAATAAACTCTCCAAGAAGGGATGCATCCTCATGCAACTCCCTCCCACAGCTGGCATAGTGAAGTTCACGGAGAATCAGATTTAAGCATTGAATTGTCGGAATCGTAAAAACACCTCCACAACATGACATCGCTGTTCCCTCAAGATCTCGTACTTGCTTCGTCTCCCCTCTTGTCTCCTGGCTCACGTCTATGTTCTGGCCACTGTGCTGAGCACTTGAATTCTTACCGTCGCCATCCCAGGATTACATTGGAAAGTTCTCCGGCGGAGAGGAATTCTGTAGCATGGTCACTGATTCAGTGCCATCTGTCAACGCTGAGGGACCACGTCAGATGCCTCCACAGCATCAGAGCTGGCGCGTCTTTGATGCTTTATTTTGCATTTTGATGGGAGGGACCATGAATCTGCACCTCGATGTTCAGCTGCATTTTGCAGACACATTTGACCGCGCTGCATGAAGCGCTAAATCACATGCACAGATGCAAATCCTGCAAGGGCAGAACTCCCCGTCTCTCCTTCCCCAACCACCACCACGAGCAGAGCGGTGAAATGCCAGTCTGCCATCCTCTGAGCGCTGTCTGCACCTCTGGGTTGGATGTGCAAAGATCTCCCCCAACACAGGAGACACCTGTCCTCCCGCTGCCCGGGGACTTTCCTGGGAGAGGAAAGGGACATGCGTGTCCATGTAATGAAGAGGCAGGAAGGAGAGCGAAGGCTTTAGAAGGAATGTGGGAACACACATGTCCCACTTAATGGCTTTATTGTCATGTGGTAAATGCCCAGAATGAACACACACAGTTGGAATGTTCAATAGACACTCCCTAGTTATGAGCAAACTTTCAAATCACCCTTTGGATGAAGTGCAATTAAGTGGTTTTACCTTGACCATAACGCATTACCGTAGGCGGTGAACACGTTTACGGCTGCAGCTTGAAGGGTGAGCAGAGAATAGCAAAACATCACCTCACGAGCAAGGACACAGCCTCGTGCGGGGGAAATCAAAGGCCAGTTTGCCATTCCTGCCTGCTTTTCTGGAATATGAGAGCCTGGAGACAGAACCAGTGCATTTTTCATAGGTGTCAGGTCACCTGTCACATTAGCAGATGGAACTGGCCTCCTTTAAACATTCGTTTCCAAATGGAAATTGTTCCTGCCTGAGAAAAACGCCTTTCCCCAAAGCTTCTCCTCCTGGCCATGTATTTCTTGGACACAGGACAATAAGACAGAGGGCTACCCGGGTCGTGGTGCAATCCTTTATGGCGTGTATCCACTGTATAAGTACAAGGGGTTGGTAGGAACCTAAAATAATGAAAACGAACCCGCAGCACCAACAGAATGACAGGTCTGCGGGCGTAGCATTTCTATCTCCAGCTTCAGATGAAAGTGTTGAGGGCACACAAATCCCAAGAATATTTGTATCGGTTGTTCTTCCATGATCTCAGAGAACTACAGAAAATGGAGAGAGGATTGGGAGGAAGAGTACAGAGTCATATCAGGTGCCTAGTACGGTGCCTGGCATATGGCAGGCAAGCATGATTTATTCATTCGATGGAGTAAAATGAAACTTAAAATAAGACCCATGAAAAAGACCAAATAATCTAGCATGTCTCCAAGTTTTGAAAAAACAAAAATATTGTCAAGAAAAGGGCTAAGATTGAAGGCATGAAGGGTTATATAATACTGCATATATGTATATATGGAAATCCTATCGTTTATTTATTCATTGAGTATCTATTGAGCATCTCCATCTGCACAGTTGCCTCTAGAGATTGACCTGTAAACAAGAAAAACAAGCTATTTGCCTTCTTGTACGCTACCAGTTACATCCACTTGTGCTCCAGCAGGAAAAGGACAGTGAACAAGTATAAAAGCTAAATCAACATGGTAAGTGAAGACTCAGAGTGTCTCTATAGGACATAGCTAGGGTCACATGAGAGTTAATAGGGGGAAGCAGACATGAGATAGTCCAGGAAAGGAGGTGATGTTAGAGTTGAGTCTTTACAGATGCGAAGGAATAAACTAAGCCCAAAGCCGAGGGAACAGCATGTGCAAAGGCCCTGAGGTGAGAGTTTGGTGTATTTAGGGACTAGCAAGGCAGCCAAATGGACAGCGGCACAGTGAGACCTTATGAGCGGAGGCTAGTGAGTAGGAAGGGGCAGTTCCCAGAGGGGTGGTGGGACATGGGAAGGCATTCCCAGTCTTTTATGTGCACTGGGAAACCACGGCAGGGCTGAGAGTATAGGGCAGGGGTGGGCAAACTTTTTGACTTGAGGGCCACAATGGGTTCTTAAACTGGACCGGAGGGCCAGAACAAAAGCATGGATGGAGTGTTTGTGTGAACTAATATAAATTCAAAGTAAACATCATTACATAAAAGGGTACAGTCTTTTTTTTTTTTTAGTTTTATTCATTTCAAACAGGCCGGATCCGGCCCGCGGGCCGTAGTTTGCCCACGGCTGGTATAGGGCCTCAGATTGCTGTTTGTTGATAGTGAATATACATCACCAATCATGAGTTAATATAGAGGTTGTGTTATCATTTCATGGTTTGGAACATCTTTTAAAGGAGAATAATTTCTCCTTTAGGAATATTCTCCATGTGCGCCTTGTTCCAGATGTGTGGAAATGATTAGTTTGTTAATCATAATATAAGGACCCCTTATGTCTGCATCACACACACACATACACACACACACACACACACACACACACACAATGTAGCAAGTCAATTATTTTTGCTTCTAGCCTACATTTTTAATGAAAATCATAACTCACCCGGTAGATGTCTGATTAGATTTAGGGTCAGTCGTATACTTATTTCTGGAGAGATTTTGAATGTGGTTATGAATGAACCTTTCATTTGGCTGAAGTGATCTGAAGAGGGAAGATTTCTTGAGTTCTCCTTACATTTTTACCAGTGGCATTCCCACTGAAATCGTCCATCTCTTTGGACTTTTCCACCCGAAAACAACAGCAACTCAGAGACTTGCTGGGTTTTAGTGTTTGTTAAAGTACCCAGTTGGAACTGCACACCCACGAACTGGATCCCACGGGCTCTCTGATGACAGGAAACAGCAGGCCCTCGCTCACTGCCTGAAGAATGCTGGCAGCATTCCTGGTATTTGAGATCCGTTTTCACTATTTTGCTGTTGTTCTAATCATGTTACAAACTGGCGGGCTGTCCAAAACCCTTAGAGGTGACATAATTCATGCGAGAAAATGCATCCTAGAGGGATGTAGGAAATTTGTCCGCTAAAAATTGCAAGAATTATGATTGAGGATGATTTAGTTAGAGCTGCCATGACAAAGTACCACCAACCGATGGCGGAAGCAACAGATATTTATTTTCCCACAATTCCAGAGGCCGGAAGTCCAAGATCAAGGTGAGGCAGGGTTGGTTTCCTATAAGGCCTCTCTCTCCTTGACTTGTAGTTGGCCACCTTCTCACTACGTCTTCACATTGCTTCCCCATGCATCTGTCTGTGTCCTAATCTCTTCTTAAAGGACACCAATCCTCTTGGATGATGGCCCATCCTGATGACCTCATTTTAACTTAATCACACCCTTACAGACCTTACACAGTCACATTCTGCATCCCTAATGGTTAGGGCTGCGACATGAATTTGGGAGGGAGCACTGTACAGTCCAAAACAGGGTGTAAGTAAAAAAAAAAAAAAAACACCCTGAAAATTAAAAGAAAGATATTCAAATTTTTATCTGTGCAGATTGAAACTCAGTGAGCCTCACACAGCCTTGAATCTCACAGTTTTCTTGCAACCCAGACTCAGAATCCCATAGTCTATTCCCTTTGAACTACCCTACTCAACATCCTTAGTTTCTTGTACTTTTTAAATAAAGTTTTCTATGCCTAGAGAACCCTTTCCCCCCAAAGTATAAGGGCATAGCAATCATTTCAAGGAATCTGACTTTAAGAGTGATGGAGTAACATACATTACCAAGTGGTGTTTAGATCAGATTACAAACATGGTAGAAAAGGCACATACGAGGCAAAGTAAGTTTAACCTTTCATTGAAGGTCAAATTATTTTAATTTTGTTGAAAGTCACTGATTATAAGACCTGTTCCCATCTAGTTTTAAGGAATGTTTCTCTCCATTTACTCAGATGCCCCCCCCCCCATACACACACACACATACACACACACACACACACACACAACAGTCACAACAGTTCCCAGTCTTGGTGGCATTGTTTCAACATTGTTGTTTGCGAGCTCTCATAATATTAGATTCCTGTTTGTCTGTCCACATCCAAATGTTGCCTTCCCCACCCTGTCCTGGTGGAGTGTAGATGGGGCTAACGGCTCGCCAGTGCAGCGGCCTGCCTCAGTGGCAGCACTAAGGATGTCCGACTGCGGCTTAGGCCCGCTCCCCATGGGGAGGCCAGCAGGCGGACATCCCCTGAGGGGTCCCAGACTGCGAG